TTTCTTCTTTTAATAAAGACGTGTTTCTGTCATTCTGTGTTTCCACACCTTTCTGTGTTTCCACTTCATGTGAAAAATATCCCACTTTTTTAAAAACTCCTTAGATTTTCTTTGATTATACACGGAAATTATCTAGAAATTTCCAACATTAGTTTAACGTAATTCTGGTGAACCCATCTCCTGCTCAAAATGGTCTGGATGTGACCTTTCTTTACCAGCTGATCTAGCTCAGTTTTGAGAGTCAGCATTCAAGGACCTCTGGCAAACCCACCCCCCTGATTAAAATGTCTGTCAGTGGTCATTTATGACTCCTGGCACTACGCTGAACATTTTGCACTTACTTTCGTCGGGTTTCCTCGCCAGCTGATCTAGCTCAATTTGGGGTCAGCATTCAAGAACGTCTGGCGAACCCACCCCCCTGATGAAATTGTCTGTCAGTGGTCATTTATGGCTCCTGGCACTATGCTGAACATTTTGCACTAAGTTTTGTTGGGTTACATCACCAGCTGATCTAGCTCATTTTGTGGCTTAGTTTCTCACTCCCCCCTGACCACATCCACCAGTGTGTGTCCGGCAGACGTCCATTTTCTTAGATCACTAGGTACATAGACCAATGCAGTATGCATAAAAATTGGTAACCTTTCCAGCTAAGCTCATACCCCTGGGCTCCCGGTCTATATGTTCAAGTTTAGGCGGTAAGAGGTCACCCAATTTGTCTCCATGTGCATTTTTAACAAAAAAACGTTCGCATAATAATCGCCGCCGATCTTTCAGTAAGGGTATACCAGTAATACTGCAAGCTTCTCTATAAGTAGCGAATGGCAAGACAATACGCAGAGCCCGCTTCTGGAGTTTTTATTCTGTAATATTGAAGTGCCAAACTTGGCAGGCATATTCGAGTACTGGTCTGATAATGGTGCAGTATACCAAAATTAGAATGCTATTGTCGGCATTTGATCGTTTTAACAACCTTAGCATATAAAGGCGTTTTCCCGCTCTTTTAACAATATGGTTCACATGCTCGTTCCATTTCAAATCATCTTGGATTGAGAGACCAAGAATTCGGGCAGATTTTACCCGCTCAATACCAACGTTATTTATAGTTAACGGTAAAAACTCATGTTTTTCTCTTGCAAAGTCAATTACCATTTCCTTACATTTGCCGATATTGAGCTTCATATTATTAACTTCACACCAATTATAGATAACATTCACTAGATCTTGTAGTTCACTACTCTCAGTTGATGTAACTCGTTCAGCAAACGTACTGTCATCAACATACTTCCATCTATCGCTCCAATCAATAAGAAGATCATTTATCATAACAAGGAACAAAGCCGGCCCCAACACCGACCCTTGCGGCACTCCACCGTTTAACGTTTGCCAGTCCGAATGACAGTTAGCCAACTTGACTCGTTGTTTACGATCAGAGAGAAAACTTCTAATCCAATTTATAATGGTTTGGGAAACACTCATTTGTTGTAGCTTATTCACCAGTATGTTGTGATCTATTCGATCAAAAGCTTTTTCAAAATCAAGCAAGAATACTCTCACCGCATTGCTTGAAGCATCTGTAGCACTCAGGAGGTGATGGATCAGGCTCAGTAGGGCATGGGTAGCCGAGGAATTTTTAACGGAACCAAACTGCCGCGTATCAATCTTTGCACCAATTGACTTAAGTAACCAGTCTGTAACAAACCGTTCGCAAATTTTGGATAAAGCCCAGGTAAGTGAGATAGGGCGCAAATCTTTAGAAATGTCTTTAGGGACTGATTTTTTTGGAACAGGGATAACGTTCGCTTTTTTCCACATTGAGGGTACAACTGCTTCTTGAATCGAAGCGTTGAAAATCGATGCCACAGGGGAAGAAAGAACGTATGCATAAGATTTAAGCACCCAATTAGGTATTCCGTCAGGACCAGATGATTTGGAAACGGGGATGGCGGACAATTTACAGTATACATCTTTTTCTTCGATAATAAACTGTGGAAGGATACTTGTACTGCCATTTTCAATTAGGTCATCAACTGGAAACTTATTCAAGGGAGGAATATCTTGGGTAGATGAGACAAAAACATCATTGATTTTATCTGCTAACTCTTTACCAGCAAAAACCTGGTTGTTTACAACGAAATTAGAGAATGTTTTGTTCTTGGCGAAACCCGCAAGCTGTTTTATACATTGCCACCATTTTTTAGCATTGGGGTTTAGTTTTAACTCATCCATCTTTTTCTTTTCTTAAGGAAGGTTGACTTGAGTCTCTTACTTTCTCTATTGGCAAGATTTCTCAATCTACGATATAGCGGACTTTTGCCCTGACGAAACGCTCTTTGTCTATTTTCTATAATTTTCTTAAATCCGACTGTAACCCATGGTTTATCATGATCGTGCAACTTTACAATTTTACTTGGGAAAAAACAGTCCAAACCAGTATTTATAACTGTTTGAAAAAAATCTAACTTTTGTTCACATGATTCAGCGCGGTACAAGTTGTTCCAGTTTATATCAGCTAGCCACTTACCGAATGCTCTCCTGTCATGATTGTTACCTTGTCTAGTTTTTACTTTTGATGTACCATATTTAGCTGTATTTTTATTAAAGGACCACAGTACGGAATTATGGTCACTTTGGCCGACAGGGGGTAATAACACCGGAGAGTTACAACAGGAAGCCATATTTGTCAAAATTAAGTCCAATGTGGAATTTCCTCTTGTGGGTTCTTTAACTATCTGTTTCAAAGTAAAATGACGTAGTAGGGAGGAAATTGGGCATTTATTAAAGTCTCCAATGAGAAAAATACCAGCATTGGGGTACAATATAAGAGCAGCGTCAAGTTTAGATGTTAGGTGATCGATTAAGGCACAGTTATCATTGGAGGGAGGGTGATAGACCACACAGATAATCAGGCAGGAAAAGCCACGGAAAAGTTTATTTGGTCTCAGGTAAAGCCAAAGTGATTCAAAATTGTCTTCATGCAAATCTATTAAGATTTTAAAAGGAATCTGGTCTTTAATATAAGCACAAACGCCACCCCCGATTCTAGAAATTCTATCACGCCGAACTAAGGAAAAGCCACTAATTTCAACGGCACCGTCATCAATATTTTCATTTAGCCATGTCTCAGTTATGAAGGCCAACCCAACCTCATTTATATGCAAAATAGTTTTCAGCTCATCAATCTTAGGTAAAAGTGATCGAGAGTTCGCTAGAAAGAAAGTTAATAACTTTCGCGGAAGGCGAAGGGAAACGGAGGTTGGACAGGGATTTCCATTAAGGTTTTCGGGCAATGTTGAAAAAACCGAGCAAACTGGGAGTAACTTTGGGGTCCGTGTGTTCTTAAATGTGGGACCATAGGAGGACGATGGTAAGGATGGTAAGAGAAAAAAGGTGGGTTGGGATGGTTATATTATAGGGGTCGGGCTAGGTGGAATGTTTGTTTTTGTTTTTGAAACACCATGTGAACGTTGGCAGTGAACACTTGCGCCTTGAGCATTTGGGAAATCTTTATTGCAAATTAGACAATAAGCAGATGCCGTGAGAACAGTGTTAGGGTGAACTGTTTTAAAATGACGTTTTAAATTACACTACACTACACTAAATTACACTACACTACACTACACTACACTACACTACACTACACTACACTACACTACACTACACTACACTACACTACACTACACTACACTACACTACACTACACTACACTACACTACACTATTCATTCTTTATTTCAAATTAGTTTACAGGTGATGGGTCTTGCTTAATAGTCCTAGTCATTATAACAATTAGTGCCATTAATGGTCATATAAATATCAAAATGGTAGATCGTGTCCGATATATAAATATCGTAGTTTATGCTAGATGTTCATAGCTAAGAATATTTATTACTCTAGAAGGTGGTGTGCCGCATTTCTCAAAGAATCTGCGGGTTTGAGATTTCTCTAACTCATCGATGATACTACAAAAGTTATAAAATTGTTCGCAATTCTTGAAAGTGTCATTGGGAATTTGGTCATCGTTAAATTTGTACTGTAGATGTTCTTTGACATAATTTTGAATTTTTTCCTTGTTGGTCTGGAGATCCGTAGCACACGTTTTATAAAATTCTTCAACTGGATCAAGATCAGACTTCGGACATTCAATTACATGAAGTTGGGCAAGGTAGGAGGGAATAGAATCATGGCATAATCTACATGTGCCGTTTAAATTCATGAATTCGGCATCGATGGCGTCAGACAAATATCCGTTTGAAAAGGACAGTTTTTTAGGAGTAAGGCCAAAAGAATTTGTACGTGGATCAAAGTCACTAGCCGGCTCATAGTCGGAATCAGAATACAGCTCCTCTTCGTCAGATTTTTCATGAATAACTGACAAATCCGGTTTAACATCGCTCGCGTGACTCTGTTGATTACTCTCGAGACTGTGTTGATTATTATTACACTGCGGTGAATTATTAATTTTAACTTGATCAGCTTTGGGGCTTATATTTTCACTTGTATTCTCAGATTTCGGGGTAATACTCGCTTTAGCTTTAATATTAGCCGTATCCACCGACTGAGGACGATAGAGATCTTGTCTATTAACCGATTTTCGAGGCGATTTGAACAATTTAGTGCAAGTCCCAGGCGAGTTATTTGGAAAGTTTGCAATGTTTTCATTATACGCACGCCGTGAATATATTGGCGATTCTTTATGACTATCGGACCTGTTCGCAGATTTATAACCAGAGTCCGCTTGATAACTTAGATTTTGGCGACGATAGGGTGTAGAAAAACTTGAAGGACTGTTTGTTGAGGAATTAAGGGCGAAATCAGTTGAATTTTGGTTGTAGATTGACGAATTTGAAACATTAATACGAGAATGCTGACTAGACACTTTCCATTCTAATTTCAGACAAAGTTTCTTGCCAGTAAACGAAGTATTCCAAGACGGTTGACAACCTCGTTCCCAGGGTCTTTCTTAGAACGGCGCGAGGCGAAGGAAAGACCCTGGTTTCGGCTGGTCACGTGTCACCCAGATTCTGGGTGATAAATTAAAATGATACTATGGGCAGGGTGGGAGAGGAGCGTGTTTGTCGCGTTTGTAACAATATTTGCAATTTTGTGTGATGAAATTTAAATTTGCAACAAGAAATGTGAAGAGAACTGCAATTAAAAATTAATATTTATCGTGATGTGACTTTCTGCTCTATAATCTAGTGTCGAGTTACAATTCAAGCAAGTTGGATCAGATTTCAACTTATAGACTTGCCAAAGAAAGCACGCCTGGGCGGCGTGGCAATAAGCCTACAAGAAAATTCATATCTCTAGACCGACCAATGTGGTTTATATTTATTTAACTGTTAGTATTAAAGTATATCCTGATACTCGGACCAAAAGAATATATTTATTGATGAGACGTGGAATTGGAACGAAATAGCGAGATCTTTTGATTTCCGAAATATCGCCAAGACGCCAACTGTATCGAGATTGTTGATTATAAAGGCCTTATCACAAAACTTAAATCCCGTCAAAAGACTATAAAATTTCCTGCAAGATCTCAACGATCATGGTATATGTCAAAGTCTTCTAGTCAAAGTCTAGCTGTCTGTTGAAAATCTACGGTATTACAGTAAAGTCATACATCAAAGATAAGTCAAACGACAATATATTTGTCTTACTGTTTACTACTGTGTTTATACCACATTTATAAATTTTATAAACAGCTTTCGTTTTGACACAAGCTTTAATTTTCTGCTTTATATATATTCTTAATAATACAAGTGAGATTTAAATTTTTTGCTTTGTGAAATAGAATACCGTTATTTTTTAATGGACAGCTTGTATCGTCTCTATCATATCCAGGATTGCTTGTGCGTAAAATAGCCTACATGTATCACTATATATGCCACTATCAAATAATATAGAAATATAAATGAACTTATTGAACTAGAAATAAACAGATGATTGAGACACAATGAAAACTGTTAGTAGCCTTAGTAGAAGTAGAAAACTCGAAAATTTATGTGTATTCGTATGGCAGTCTGTGCGCGTCTGACACTGTAAATTTGTGATGTAGATTATAGCCTAGTTGTGTGCATATTAGGAAAACATTATCTGACCAAGAAAAAGGCTAAAGCCTTACTATAATTAATGAATACGAATTATGTACTAAATCCGTAAAGATAAATCACTGACGGACATTTCTCTGTTTGGCTAGTATCAAATGTTTACATTGCTGATATTGGGCTCTACTATCTAGTCCTAGACAATACAATACAATACAATACTGTTTCTTTTAAAAATCTTATAAACAAGGCGTGCAAAGCATATAGCAACGTTTACAAAAAAGGACAAATCTAATGCTTGTTTTAAAAACATTAGATATGTAGAAATGGTGACCACTGAAAAGCCCATAAACGTTTGTTATAAAACCGCGCTCGAGTGTGAAGAGAGCATTGAATAATAATAACACGAGAGAGCACTGCGAGTAACGATTTGCTTTGTTTCTTTACTTAACTGTTGGTAAAAATGTAAGAATGTTCTTGTAAATTCAAAGCAAATAAAATAAACAAAAATTAGCAAGTATTTTGAACTTACTGGTAATAGTTCGCAAAATATATGTTTTTAACTGTTTGTAATTTGATACTTTCACCACACCCCCCTCGGGCAATCAATTTTGGACGAGGCACGTGACCAGCCGATACCAGGGTCTTTCCTAAAGACCCTGGGAACGAGGTTGGACGGTTGATCGAGGTTATATGTAGCTAGGGAGCTAAGGACTGATTTAGGAAATACACCAACGTTGACACTCGTATATACTGGGCCACAAAGGTCCCATTCGGCTTTGAATTTGACATATTTAGTCGCAACATTAATATCCCAAGTTGGTTGACAACGAATATTAAAACTCTCGATGATGTTGACCGCTTGAACTGGTATAGGATAATAGGAACATTTGACATAATCTTCTGGGTTTGAAGAATGAATTTTAGGAGTATTTGGCGTAAGGAGAAGTCCAGCTTTGGGCGAATAAAACATAGTTCACGATATTAATATATTTCGCGAGTAATAACAACAACGTATTCGCTACAAAACGAAAGTAACGAATTTTTCCGATAAATCCTTGACAAATAAGATCAAACTTGCACCAGAAGAGAGAGAAAATTCTTGGCAACAATTCGATTTACAAACTGTAAGAAACGAGCCAGTGTGAGCGCTCCAAAAGAAAGAAAATTACAGAGCCGAAATTGTGCGTGGAGTCCACTACACTACACTACACTACACTACACTACACTACACTACACTACACTACACTACACTACACTACACTACACTACACTACACTACACTACACTACACTACACTACACTCCACTACACTACACTACACTACACTACACTACACTACA